GAATATATTAATATATAATATGTTATATATATTTTATTAAAATATATTTGTGATATATTAAAATATACTATAATATATTAAAATATCTTATAAAGCCAGGCTTTATAATATTTTTGCTTTATAATTTTGTGTTACTTGATGTATGTTTTTAAATAATTTTTTGTAGGATAAGAGAAGAGATCCTCATACTTTCTTATTTCTTTTTTGTAAGAAGGTAGACATCTATAACTATGCTATTTTATTAAAAAAAGACCATTCCTATCCTTTCAGAAAGTGAGTGTATTATTTTTGGAGAAGAGAACATGGAGTTTACTTTATCCTCTATAGCTCAGGACTCCTTTTTCATGTTCCTACCCAGCATACTATAGATCTTCATTTTGCATATCCTTATACAATGTTTTTTTAGATAGAGTCTTACTTCGTTGCCCAAGCTAGAGTGCAGTGGCATGCGAACATAGCTCACTGTAGCCTTGACCTCTTTATGCTAATTTTTAATTCGGTTTACCACTCCTTTTTCCCGAATTGGGTGTCTCAACAATATTATGGGATTTTTCCACAAGCTTCATATATGTTATAGTTTGAGGGGGAAAAAGAGAAAAGGATGATTTTTAGATCGTTTTGTTGTTGTTTGTTTTTAATTAACATTAATAGTAATTAACATTTTTTACTATGATCATTTGCTACTTGATCATTTTATATTTGAATGCTGCTGCATGACAATTAGAATATAAAACTTTGTAGGAAATTTGCCATATTCAAAAATCTTTAATAATCAGGAGAATTATACGCAGTTTTATTTTACTCCTAAGGTAAATAATAAGGAAAAACAGAAGAAATTATATGTATAATTTGTTATATTTTATGATATTATATTTTTAAATCTTTTCTCACCCAGTTAGCGTATTATTACCAGAGGAAAGGTTGGAAGACCTGTTTAATATGTGCAGACACATTCAGAGCAGGTAATGTCTTGAAATTTGAAAATTGTTTTCTATAATTTTTATTTTCAAGTTTGAGGACTCATGAACTCTTTATCTTCTAGGGGCTTTTGACCAACTAAAACAGAATGCTACCAAAGCAAGAATTCCATTTTATGGAAGGTAGGTTACTGTTTTTTATTTTAACACTCATATGCCTCTTCTTGTCTGTCAGCTTTTTTTTTTTTTTTTTTTTTTGAGACAGAGTCTCCCTCTTTACCCAGGTTGGAGTTGCAATGGTGCGATCTTGGCTCACCGCAGCCTCCACCTCCTGGGTTCAAGCAACTCTCCTGTCTCAGCTTCCTGAGTAACTGGGATTACAGGTGCCCACCACCATGCCCAGCTAAGTTTTTGCATTTTTAGTAAAGACAGAGTTTCGCCATGTTGGCCAGGCTGGTCACTCCTGACCTCAGGTGATCTGCCTGCCTTGGCCTCCCAAAGTGCTGGGATTACAGGCATGAGCCACCACGCCTAACCATGCCCTGCTAATTTTTTTTTTAAACTTTTTGTAAAGACCCTGTCTTTACAAAAGATCCTATGTTGCCCAGGCTAGTCCTGAGCTCCTGGACTCAAATGATCCTTCCACCTCAGCCTCCCAAAGGGCTGGGATTACAGGCTTGAGCCACTGTACGCAGCCACACACATATTAAGTATATTTCTCCCTGAGTTTTTGGTGGTGGTTCTTAATTTAGGGGAAAAACTTTTTTTTGTAACATTATATGTCTTTATTTGATAGTAGTGATCTGCATATAAAAAGTTGCCACTAATCAGAAGAATGCAAATTAAAATATCTAATTTCTTGATTTTTCAAGTTGACAAAGATTGTATTAGGGATTGTGAAAATGTAGTGAAATAGGAATGACATTAAACTTATGGAGGAGGTTTGCCTCATAAAAGTGAAAAGCCTTAAATGGTCATACCATTTGTTCCAAATTCAACTTATAAGAGTGCTCAAAGAAGAAACATTTACCAATTATATTGGCTGTATTTTTAATATCAAGAAATTGGAAAAACTGCCATGCACAGTGGCTCATATATATAATCCCAGCACTTTGGGAGGCTGAGATGGGAGGATCACTTGAGCCCAGAAGTTGGACACCAGCCTGAGCAACATAACAAGACCTCATCTCTAGAAAAAATAAATTTTAAAAATTTTTAGGCCGGGCACGGTGGGGTTATGTTTGTAACCCCAGCAGTTTGGGAGGCTGAGGCAGGTGGATTATAAAGTCAGGAGTTCGAGACCAGCCTGGCCAACACAGTGAAACCCTGTCTCTACTAAAAGTACAGAAATTAGCTGGGTGTGTTGGTGGGTGCTTGTAATCCCAGCTATTTGGGAGGCTGAGGCAGAAGAATTACTTGAAACTGGGAGGCAGAGGTTGCAGTGAGCCGAGATCGCGCCACTGCACTTCAGCCTGGGTGACAGAGCTAGACACCGTTTCAACAACAAAAAAATTTTTTTAGGCGAGGCACGGTGGCTCACACCTGTAATCCTCGCACTTTGGGAGGCTTAGGTGGGTGGATCACCTGAGGTCGGGAGTTCAAGACTAGCCTGACCAACATGGAGAAAACCCGTTTCTACTAAAAATACAAGATTAGCTGGATGTGGCGGCGCATGCCTGTAATCCCAGCTACTCAGGAGGCTGAGGCCGGAGAATCGCTTGAACCTGGGAAGCAGAGGTTGTGGTGAGCTGAGATCGCACCATTGCACTCCACCCTGGGCAACGAGCGAAACTCCGCCTCAAAATAAATAAATAAACACATTTAAAAAAGAAATTGGAGGCCAGGTGTGATGGCTCATGCATGTGATCCCAGCATTTTGGGAGGCCAAGGCAGGCAGATCGTGAGGTCAGAAGTTTGAGAACAGCCTGACCAACATGGTAAAACCCCGTCTTTACTGAAAATACAAAAATTAGCTGGCCTGGTGGCAGGCACCTGTAATCCTAGCTACTTGAGAGGCTGAGGCAGGAGAATCGCTTGAACCCAAGAGGCAGAAGTGGCAGTGAGCTGAGATCTCGATACTGCACTCCAGCCTGGGCGACAGAGTGAAACTTTGTCTCAAAAAAAAAAGAAAAAGAAAAGAAATGGGAAAAACGTCAAATGTCTAATAGGAGGGCATTATTTAATAAGCAATATAGCCATCTGATAGAATGCTGTATAACCTCAAAGTTATGTTTTACAGAAATATTTTTTCTTTTTTCCCCCTGTGTTGTTTTTAAAGAGACATGGTCTTGCTCTGTTGCCCAAGTTGGGGTGCAGTTGCTTGATCATAAGCTCACTGCAGCCTCAAACTCATGGACTCAAGTTGTCCTCCTGCCTCAGTCTCCCAAGTGGCTGGGATACAGGTGCATTCCACTATGCCAACTAGATTTTTTTTTTTTTTTTGTAGAGTGGAATCTCACTGTATTGCTCAGGCTTGTTACAAGAGTATCTGCTGGTTTCATAAAATGCTTCCTAATGGATATTAAATGGAAAAACATGTGAAACACTGTGAACATGAATTCAATTATTAAATAAAATATAAAAAATAAATTTGAAGGAGACACAGTTCATTCAGAAAAGACGTGCGATAGAATCATACTGGGTTTTGGAATTGGAAAATTGGATAATGCTTCATGCTTTTTTAGAAGTAGATTTTGTATTTAATACTTTATAGATTTTCTTCTTCTAAATTGAAATTGGGGTCATTTTGGCTTTTTCAAAATAGATTAAAGGTAAACTAACAATTTCTGAATTAGTAATATTTGGAAGTTTTGCCGTTTTGTTAAATCATTTGTCCATGTTATATAGCTATACAGAAATGGATCCTGTTATCATTGCTTCTGAAGGAGTAGAGAAATTTAAAAATGAAAATTTTGAAATTATTATTGTTGATACAAGTGGCCGCCATAAACAAGAAGACTCTTTATTTGAAGAAATGCTTCAAGTTGCTAATGCTATAGTAAGTAGCTTTCAATGTAAAAACACTAGGACTTTGGTTAATTTAATTATAAAACCGGATTGAATATATGACCAATATAATTTGTTTTGGGCACCTATATCTGTGTGGTAGTGACTTAATTTCATCATTTTTGCTCTCCGTTAAATATAAACTTTTCGTAAATTTGAAAAAATAATTTCCTTTCTCACTTAATCATCCTATTAGTATGCATAAGAAAACGTTTAAAAATTAGTAATTAGGCTGGGTGCAGTGGCTCACATCTATAATCCCAGCACTTTGGGAGGCTGAGTCGGATGGATCACAAGGCCAGGAGTTCGAGATCAGCCTGGCCAACATGGTGAAACCCCATCTCTATTAAAAATACAAAAATTATCTGGGCGTGGTGGTGGGTGCCTGTAATCCCAGCTACCTGGGAGCTAAGATAGGAGAATCGCTTGAACCTGGGAGGCAGAGGTTGCAGTGAGCTGAGATCATGCCATTGCACTCCAACCTGGGCAACAAGAACAAAACTCCATCTCAAAAAAAAAAAAAAAATTAGTAATTAGCCTTTCATGTCTGATGAATTTCCTTTTTAAAAATTCAGTTGGAATACTTAGGTGAATTTTGAGAATTTTCCAAAATGAAGCATTAAAAAAGTATTATCATTTTTTGTCTCTTTAAAAGTGTGATGGAAATAATTTGGGGGAGGAGAAGCAGTTTATAGATATCTGCAGCATATATTATTTAGGAACTCATGTCTTGGCATTGGAGTATTAGCAGTAATTCTTTGGTTTGTGGTTAATGCTAATAAGTTTCTTTTTATTTATGTTGTTATTTTGACCAAGTTGAGCAGATCTAAGGGAAATAGCTTCAAGTGTGTTTTATCCATTTTGTTTTCAGTATACACTCTTCTGCTTTGATTTGCCTTTGCACTTTTTTTGCCTAGAGTGCCATTCTTTCAAATCTTTGCATAGCTTTTTCCTTTTTATTCAGGTCTCAGCTCAAACATTAGGTCCAGAGAGGCCTTCCCTGACTGCCCTACTAGAAGATGCCTCCCATACTTCAAAACTGATACTCTGTATCCCATTTTAGTTGTTATACATCTGAAATGTTTATCTATTTATTATCTGTCCTCTGACTAGAATGCAGGTTTCTTAGGACAAATATTTTCTCATTTACCTTTTTGTTCTCAGGACCTAGATGGTACCCAATAATACATAGTACTTCAACAAATATTTATGGATTGAATAATTATTTATATTGTAAATATTGTGGGGTTTTTTTTTTTGTTTGTTTGTTTTTCTTGAGATGGAGTTTCACTCTTGTCGCCCAGGCTGGAGTGCAGTGGCATGATCTCAATTGACTGCAACCTCTGCCTCCCGGGTTTAAGTGATTCTCCTGCCTGAGCCTCTCATGTAGCTGGGATTACAGGGGCTTGCCACCACGCCTGGCTAATTTTTGTATGCTAATTTTTGTATTTTTAGTAGAGACAGGGTTTTCACCACGTTGGCCAGGCTGGTCTTGAACTCCACCTCTGGTGATCCACCCGGCTCAGCCTCCCAAAGCGCTGAGCTTACAGACATGAGCCACTGCGCCTGGCTCTAAATATTGTTTTGTAGCTTCTAATGATGACATTTGCTTAGGATTAATAAAAACCTTTTCTAAAGTATCTTTTCTATTTAAACTTTCTAGCAACCTGATAACATTGTTTATGTGATGGATGCCTCCATTGGGCAGGCTTGTGAAGCCCAGGCTAAGGCTTTTAAAGATAAAGTAGATGTAGCCTCAGTAATAGTGACAAAACTTGATGGCCATGCAAAAGGAGGTGGTGCGCTCAGTGCGTAAGTATCATTGATACTGTTGTCCTCTGTCTTGGGATTGTATGGGGAAGAGTATGTGTTTATAGCTTTCATATTGATCATTTAAAATATGTTTCAATAGTGAGCCTAATATGGTTTGTAAAGGAAGTTTAAATAGAAATAATTTTGGAGCCCGTCTGATACAGTTCTATTACAACTTGTGAAATGAAACTTGAGTTTTGTACCTTTGTCTAATTAGCTTTGGAGGCGGATTCACTTCAAATATCAGATCTGCTGGAAATTTGTGGGGCTCTTTTGAGGTTATTTTATATTTTCTTTTTTTTTCCAGAGTCGCTGCCACAAAAAGTCCGATTATTTTCATTGGTACAGGGGAACATATAGATGACTTTGAACCTTTCAAAACACAACCTTTTATTAGCAAACTTCTTGGTATGTACAGTGGTGGTGATATAGACAAATCTCCAAGAAATACAATGTATCTTTAGGACAAAATAGGATTTTAATTCTGTCCTCACTAATTTAAGAACATCAGTTGCTTCTATGACTTACTTTCCTTACCTGTAAAATAGAGATAATGCTTATCTGCTTTCTGTGGTGAAAGTGGTAAAATGAAGTGTCTAGTAGAAAGTTCTTTGGAAAAGTTTTAGAGCACAATACAAAAACAAGTGGTTTTAATAATAGTAGATGTAAGGGCAATAATACTTTGGCAATGTCTCAAGGTGGTATAGTTAGAGAGCATGGAATTTGGAGTTAAACCCTGGGCTACAGTCCCTGCTTTGCGACTTGTTTGTTCCTACTTAACTTTTTTTATTTTTTTGAGTTGGAGTTTCGCTCTTGTCACCCATGCTGGAGTGCAATGGCGGGATCTCAGTTCACTGCAACTTCTACCTTCCGGGTTTAAGCGATTTTTCTGCCTCAGCCTCCCAAGTGGCTGGGATTACAGGCGTGCACCACCAGGTCCAGCTAATTTTTTTTATTTTTAGTAGAGATGGGGTTTCACCATGTTGGCCACGCTAGTCTCGAACTCCTGACCTCAGGTGACCCACCCACCTCGGCCTCCCAAACTGCTGGGATTACAGGCATGAGCCACCGTGCCTGGCCATGCCACTTAACTTTCTTAGCTTCAGTTTTCTCATTTGTGTAGTGTAGTAAGAATACCTATCATAATAACCTCACAAGGTTATTATGTATGTGAGTGTGTTTTGTATAATGTAAAGCAGGGTATAGTATTAGTTGTTAATTTTTCTTTTTTGCATCTTATAGGTATGGGCGACATTGAAGGACTGATAGATAAAGTCAACGAGTTGAAGTTGGATGACAATGAAGCACTTATAGAGAAGTTGAAACATGGTATATGAGTGACAAAAAAGCACTTCATCTCAGATGTCTTCCATTGACTTTTTTTAATAAAGTTACTATTAAGTTGTTTGAAATATAATATTTATTAGAGTCAGATCTTCTACTGCTTATTATTTTACATGATTTATATGCAAATCATTTAAAATCTAGGTGCCTGAGCAGTTACAGAATTCAGTGTTTTTGTTTTCTTTATTGTAATAAAATTAAGATTAAAATCAAGGCTTTCACTAGATTCCTTGAAATGTATGTTTGTTTGTTTGTTTTTTAAGATGGAGTCTCACTCTGTTATCCAGGCTGGAGTGCAGTGGTGCAGTCTTGGCTCACTGCCAACTCTGCCTCCTGGGTTCAAGTGATTCTCCTGCCTCAGCCTCCTGAGGAGCTGGGATTACAGGCACGTACCACCAGGCCTGGCTAATTTTTGTATTTTTAGTAGAGATGAGGTTTCACCATGTTGGCCAGGCTGGTCTTGAACTGCTGACCTGAGGTGATCTGCCCACCTCGGCCTCCCAAAGTGCTGGTTTTACAGGTGTGAGCCACTGTGCTTGGCTGGTTCCTTGAAGTTAAACAGGTTAAAAGTAAGTTAGAACACAAGGATGAAATTAAATATACCACATTTTCTTTACCCCACATGAAAGACCCCTCCTGTAGGGAAGGATGTTACTCGATTAGGAGCTCAGGTTCTTAAATAATAACATACCAGTGTTTGTATCTATGATCTATTATTCAGTTGTATAACTTTTTGAAATTACTTAGCCTCAATTTTGTCATCTGTAAAAAGTACATAATACTAACTACTTCATATGGTTGTGAAGACTGCATTCGCCGATGCATGTACAATGTCTAGCACATCATAAACACTCCGTGTATATTATTCTCTACCATTCCAGTTGTTCTAAAAATAATCTTTAATTACCATAGCAACTATTCGCCTCTTTGCTGCTTCTCACTCATCTTACCAGATAATTGTGCCTTTACCTTTCTCTTAAATGCTGGTGTTTCTCAGGGATCATTCTAAGTCATCTTTCTCAGGCGCTTCAGACTCATGTATCTGTGTTTACTAGACCATTCTTGGATGTTTCACAGACATCTCAAATTCAGCACATCCTTATTCCCATCCCAACCTCTCACCTCGTTGTCTCATCAATGAATATTAATATCATTTATATTGTTGCCAGAGTCAGAAACTTGTGTGTCATTATTATTTCTTCCTCACTCTGCCCACTCCTTTCTCCATCAGTTAACTAGTCCTAGTGTTCCTACCTCCTAAATATCTCCATTCCATCCCCTTCTCTGTAGCCGCTCTACAACTATGCTAGTTCATCTCTTTCCTAGATCTTCTTACTGTAAGTCTTTCAACAGATCTTCCAGCTTCCTGTACTCTTCCCCTTTGATGTATTTTTTCATACTACAGCCCAAAATAATCTTTCAAAACTGCAAATCTGATCCCATTACTGCTCTTCTTAAAATTCTTTAATGGCTTTCTATTGCCCTTATAAAGTTTTTAACTGATTTTATGATCTAGCTCACATCTTCCATGTTGTGTTTTAGCACTGTTGTTCTTAGTATTCTGTGTGTCAGCTATGCTGGACTTCTTTTAGTTTCTCAAATGTACATTCCTGTCTCACATCTGGGCTGTTGCCTTTGCTTGTCCCTCTCTCTCTCTTCTTACCTCTGCCATCATCTCTGACCAAGATGGCTAACTGCTACTTATACTTCAGATTTCTCCTTAAATGTCCTTCTTCAGGGACATTTCACCTGAACCCTAGACTGAGTTGGAACCTTCTGACAGATGTTTCTATTGCTTCCTACAATTTTTGTATTATTCACCACAATTATTTGATGTCCGTTTTTCCTGCTGGATGGTGAAGGTAGAGGTCATAGCTGTGTTATTCATCTTTTATGTTCACAGTACGTAGCACAGTGTCTGGCACATAGTAGGCCTTCAGTAACTATTGAATGAATGAATTTATACTTCGTTGCCTGTTTCTTTGCACCTTTTTTCCTTTTCTTTTCTTTATTTTGGCACAGAGTTTCACTCTTGTCGCCCAGACTGGAGTGCATTGGCACAATCTCAGCTCACTGCAACCTCCACCTCCCAGTTTGAAGCAATTCTGCCTCAGCCTCCCCAGTAGCTGGGACTATAGGCGTGCACCACCACGCCTGGCTAATTTTGATATTTTTAGTAGAGATGGGGTTTCACCATGTTGGCCAGGCTGATCTCGAACTCCTGGCCTCAGGTGATCCGCCCGCCTCGGCCTTCCAAAGTGCTGGGATTACAGGCATGAGCCACCATGCCTGGCCACTCCTTCCTTTTTCTATCTTGAATAATCCTACCACTGTTTCTGCTAGCACTACGAAGCTGGGTGTATATTCCTATTCTGTTTCCTTTCTTACTTCTGACTCTCCTGAAGTCTTTTGTTTCTGTTCCTAATATTCTACTCATTCTGAGATCTCCAAGGGTCTCCTAATTTCCACATGTAGTGACCTTTCTTGTTTTCCTTGGTTCCGAATATTTAAGTGTTTTCTGCCTTTTCTGTTTTCATACTCTAAGTTCTATGTCTGTAGATTTCTTATATTATCCTAGCTTTAATTATCACTTCTGTATAAATGGCCAAATATGTATTTCAACCTTAATCCTCTCTTCCACTGTTTAATTCTGTGTTTCTAGTTGCCTGCTGTAATGTTTCTTTTAAGATATTGTACTGTCACTTCAAATTCAGAATGCCTGAATCAAATACCTTTTCTCTTTTTATCTTTAGGACATAAATAGAAAATACTTTCTCTTTTGGCTTGTTCCATCCCTGTTTTGAAAGCTTAGATTAATATACATACAATGAAATGCTCAAATCCTAAGGAAATCTTTCTTTTTTTAACAAATGCACAGTAACCCTTACCCAATCAAGAAACAGAACATTTCCATTACTCTAAAAGGTTTGCTTATGCCCTTTCCCAGTAATACTTCATATTATAGAAGTCCTGGTCTATGCATGGTGGCTCATACTATAATCCCAGTGCTTTAGGAGGCCAAGGTGGGAGGATCATTTGAGACCAGGAGTTTGAGACCAGCCTGGGCAACATAGTGAGACCCATATCTCTTAGAAAAATCCAGTGGCATGCATCTATAGTCCTAACTACTCTGGAGACTGAGGCGGGGGGGTCACTTGAGCTCAGGAGTTTGAGGCTACCAGTGAGTTACGACTGTACCACTGCAATCCAGTTTCAGTGATAGAGCACAACCCTCTTAAAAAAATAAAGAAATTCTGAATATATCCTTTTTTTTCCAATCTCTTTTCTCTAAGCATATTTTGATATTCGTTCATGTAGTTGTACTTATCTATAGTTTGTTCTTTTTATTACTGAATAGTATTTTTTCCACAGGTATCCATTTTCCTGTTCATAGATCCCTAAGCTATTTAAGAAACTCCAAACAATCTTCTAAAGTGTTTTGCTATTCTGTCACCAACAATATATGGCAGTTCTTTATGGTCCACATCCTCTTTAACTTTTGATATTGTCAACCTTTAAAATTTTACTCATCCTAGTAGGGATAGTTTATGTGCCTTGTTTTCAGGTTTCTTGTGTGTTTGTATATGTGTTTTCTCAGATAGAATGTTAGCTTCTCTAGGATAGGACCTGTCTATGTGTCTATATATTCTCCCTAGCATTCATCCTGTCATCTTGCACATGCTAACTGCTTGGTGAATATTTATTGATTGTATATTTTATAAGTATGCTTCAAGATGAATTCATGATTAAGGATGAAATTAGTTTTGTTGAATGGAAATGTACATACTGTAATATATCCAAATTATATTGTATTTCAGGTCAGTTTACGTTGCGAGACATGTATGAGCAATTTCAAAATATCATGAAAATGGGCCCCTTCAGTCAGATCTTGGTTAGTTATCCTTAAAAGTTTATACCTTCTTTTGTTTTTATTAAATTTTCTAAGAATAGATACACTTGCTTTAATTATTTTTACATTTGGGTAAAAATAGGTATCTTAAGACTTAGTGTCAATATTAAACCTAATAGTTAAATGTGGACATTTTGAACTATTAATCTTAAGCTATTATTGACTTTATGTTTAAATCTGTTTTAGGGGATGATCCCTGGTTTTGGAACAGATTTTATGAGCAAAGGAAATGAACAGGAGTCAATGGCAAGGCTAAAGAAATTAATGACAATAATGGATAGTATGAATGATCAAGGTAAGATGGCAGATTATTTTCCTCAGGGGACAATATTCTGAATATCAGTAAGATGAGAGTTTCACTGTGTTCTTGTGGACAAGATGGGGAGAAATTTTGACTGAAAGATTATTTTTAGGTAGATTTGTAATAGCTTGAAAGCTCTTACTCAAAGGGTTATGATCATTGGATTGCCTTCATCAGTGAGAGAAATGTCTACTACAATACTTCTCCAAATGAGATACAAGGAAAGAACACTAGTTCTTCATGATGTTGATAGAGATAACTTAAAAGGAGAACTCTGTAGTCAAATTTGGTGGAATGCTAGTTTTTAAAGAGTTAAATTTGGCCGGGTGAGGTGGCTCACGCCTGTAATCCTAGTACTTTGGCAGGCCAAGGTGGGAGGATTACTTGAGGCCAGGAGTTTAAGACCAGCCTGGCCAACATAGCAAGACCCTGCTTCTATGAAAAAAAGAATTTACTAAAAGTCTCTTCATAGCTTTAATATTGCTAACATACATTGGGATAACATAAGAATGGATAGCTTAAGCAATGCTTAGAAAATTCTTTCAGTCTGAAACATAAGGTTTCAGTTTTCTCAGTATACTGCTGTGTTCCCCTGACCCTATAAAGGCATACCTCAGAGATATTGTGGGTTTGGTTCTAGACCACTGCAGTAAAGGAAATATCATGCAGTAAAGTGAGTCATACAGATTTTTTTGGTTTTCCAGTGTATATAAAAGTTATGTTTACACATACATATACTGAAGTCTATTAAGTGTGCAAGAGTATTATGTCTGAAAAACAATGTATATACCTTAATTTAAAAATAGTTTATTGTTGGCTGGGTGCAGTGGCTTACGATGCCTGTGATCCCAGTACTTTGGGAGGCTGAGGCAGGTGGATCACCTGAGGTCAGGAGTTTGATACCAGCCTGGCTAACATGGTAAAACCCCGTTTCTACTAAAAATACAAAAAAATTAGCCAGATGTGGTGGCACATGCCTGTAATCCCAGCTACTTGGGAGGCTGAGGCAGGAGAATCGCTTGAACCTGGGGGCAGAGGGTTGCAGTGAGCCGAGATCGTGCCACTGCACTCCAGCCTGGGTGACAGAGACTCTGTCTCAAAAGAAAAAATAAAAAGTTTATTGCTAAAAATGCTAATGATCATCTAAGCCTTCAGTGCATTCTAATCTTTGCTGATGGAGGATCTTAGCTTGATGTTGATGACTGCAAACTGATTACAGTGATAGTTGCCAAAGGTCAAGGTGGCTCTGGCAGTTTCTTAAAACACAAGAATGAAATTTGCCCGATTGATTGACTCTTCTTTTCACAAAAGATTTCTCTGTAGTATTCAATGCTGTTCGATAGCATTTTACCCACAGTAGAACTTCTTCCAAAGTTGGAGTCAGTTCTGTCAAACCCTGCTGCTGCTGCTTTATCAACTAAGTTTATGTAATATTCTAACAATTTGAACAAATTTTCATATCTGTGCTTTATCTACTATCTAATTTGTTGTTATTTTTTGTAGTCTCTTTTTCCTGAGCTCCAGGTTTTCATAGTAACCCAAATAAGATTGTCCTTTTCTTTTAAGGTTGTCTTTTTCCTCATCGTCTTTAACACTGCAAAAATGTTTGCACGTAGAATTCACAATTGTGGCATATCTGAAGTATCCATTCTGTGCCAGGCACTGTCCTGAACACTTTAAATATGTTAATTCATTTTATCATTATAACAACTCCTATAGCATATTCAGTTATTATCTGCCTTTTTCAAATTAGGAAACTGGTACAGGGAAGTTGAGTAATTTGCCCAGTATAGAACCTTTCCTGACTTCCTTCCTTCTTTGAATGAAGGCCCCTTCCTCTATTTGCTTAACTCTGTCATATTGCTTGCCACGATGTGCTGCTATTAGTTTTTCTTTCATTTGATTTGAGCTGTTGGAAGGAATATTATATATATTTCATAAATCTTTTATAAGGAAGATGTGGCTTAAAAGCTGCATTTATCAAATGGATTTGGAGGTTTTGATTGTGACTTTATTTTGAGATATTGTATCTTCGTTAGTATTGCATTGATAATTAGACTTCAACTGGATTTCAGTTCACTTCTGGACAACATACTTAGAGGGTATAGACAAATTAGAAGATATAGGAAATCAGGATGATCAATGGGGTTCTAAACCATGTTAGAAGAGTCAAGAGTTGGATATTTGTCATCCAGCGAAAATTCACAGGAGACATAATGGCCTATGCATTTGAAAGCTGGCCAGGTGTGGTGGCTCTCACCTGTAATCCCAGCATTTTGGGAGGATCACTTGAGGTCAGGAGTTCGAGACCAGCCTGGGCAACATGGTGAAACCCTGTCTTTACTAAAACTACAAAAAAAATTAGCTGGCTGTGGTGGCGTGTGACTACAGACCCAGCTACTCAGGAGCCTGAGGTGGGAGAATCGCTTGAACGCTGGAGTTGGTGGTTGCAATGAGCCAAGCTTCCACCACTGCACTGTGGCCTGAGTGACAGAGCAACACTCCGTCTCAAAAAAAAAGATTTTGAAAGCGTTATTTTTTATGAGTGGCAAGGAGACATATACATGAATGGGAATGGAAGTGCCAGGTAAACGGATTTCAATTTAATATGTGTAAAGAAAAGATTTTTCCCTAAGTATAACAGAATGGCATAGACAGCTTTACATTAGATAGCAGGTCATCTTCTCCTGGGGATATTAAGACCAAGGCTAGATAACCATTTATTTGGGGGATATTGCAGAAGGAATGCAGACATAATGGACATTTTGACTAAAGTCCATTCCATTCCTGAGATTGCATGCAACTGAAGAAATGCACCTCATATTCTAAGAGTCATCAAACAACTGTGGGAATTAATTCACTCTTTTTTTTTTTTTTTTTTTTTTTGAGATGGGGTCTCGCTCTGCCGCCCAGGCTGCAGACTGGAGTGCAGTGGCCGGATCTCAGCTCACTGCAAGCTCCGCCTCCCGGGTTTACGCCATTCTTCTGCCTCAGCCTCCCGAGTAGCTGGGACTACAGGCGCCCACCACCTCGCCCAGCTAGTTTTTCTTTTTGTATTTTTTAGTAGAGATGGGGTTTCACCGTGTTAGGATGGTCTCGATCTCCTGACCTCGTAATCCGCCCGTTTCGGCCTCCCAAAGTGCTGGGATTACAGGCTTGAGCCACCGCGCCCGGCCATTAATTCACTCTTAAAGCTACTCAGAGAATTAAAATACTAGTAGTAGTAATTACTTGATTATAGGAAATAATTTTTCTGTTGATTATGGATAGAATCTTCTTCCTTCTGCTTGCTTATATAGTCTGCATTTGTGAATTCATGATTAATATTTACGATAGAGCTAAGGTGAGCATTTGTGTTCATTTTTTAAGTATACCATATACCTCTGGTGTTTGGAGGGCCTGGAGAGGGTAGACATATGAAATATGGAAGTGGTGGACATGGGGTCTCAAAACATTCTATTAATAGTTTACTTAAACTGTAGGGAAAGTACATGTGCGTTTTATTGTTTTTATAGCAAAAGTACACGTTTGTTTTACTGTTTTTATAGCTTATGAATACTATAAATGTTCTTTTGAATATATTCCGTATTTTCTTTTTTTTTTTTTTTTTTTGAGATGGAGTCTTGCTCTGTCGCCCGGGCTGGAGTGCAATGGCACAATCTTGGCTCACTGAAACCTCTGCCTCTCAGGTTCAAGCAATTCTTCTGCCTCAGCCGCCCGAGTGGCTGGGACTACAGGCGCGTGCCACCATGCCCAGCTAATTTTTGTGTTATTAGTAAAGACGGGTTTTACCATATTGGCCAGGCTGATGTCGAACTCCTGGCCTCATGAGCCGCCTGCCTTGGCCTCACAAAGTGCTGGGATTACAGGCGTGAGCTACCACGCCCGGCCTCCGTGTTTAAGTTTTAAAACTCAAAAGCAAACATAGCAAATGATAACATTTGTTAAATCGGGGTGGTAGTTTGACTATGTATTATATCTGTTTTTCTGTAAGATATTTTGTAATATAAAAAGAAAAATGAGATAGTTATCACTTCAAAAACGTATCTGCTAAGCTCTTTGAAGTTATGTATTGCCCATTTGCACATAACTGCTTTGATGGTGAATGATAATTGTGTGTGAGAGTAATTGACTCTTGTCTACAGAACTAGACAGTACGGATGGTGCCAAAGTTTTTAGTAAACAACCCGGAAGAATCCAAAGAGTAGCAAGAGGATCAGGTGTATCAACAAGAGATGTTCAAGAACTTTTGACACAATATACCAAGTTTGCACAGATGGTGAAAAAGATGGGAGGTATCAAAGGACTTTTCAAAGGTAAGAAAAATAAGCTTATTATTAGTTAACAGACTGAAAAGAAAGGAAGTTGAGTACAAAGTTAAGAGTACTGCCAGTATTGGAAAATTCACAGCTGAATTTCATGTTATTTTCAAGTACTTCGAGGATTTATGTGACCCATGATTTATCTGTTTTCATGATTTATCTGACCCATGATTTATCTGTTGCCCGGGCGCGATGGCTCATACCTGTCATCCTAGCACTTTGGGAGGCTGAGGCGGGCAGATCACTTGAGGTCAGGAGTTCAAGACCAGTCTGGCTAGCATGGTGAAACCCTGTCTCTACTTAAAATACAAAAAATAGCCAGGCATCATGGGGCATACCTGTAATCTCAGCTACTAGGGAGGCTGAGGCAGGAGAATCACTTGAACCCAGGAGGCGGAGGTTGCAGTGAGCCGAGATTATACAACTGTACTCCAGCCTAAGCAACAGAGTGAGACTCCATCCCCCAAAACACACACACACACTTCTTAACTGCTGAGTAATACTCTTCCAGTTATGCATGTATCTTTGTCTAATGTAATGCCACTTTTTTGGACAGTAAGGCTGATTCATTCACTTCTATATCAGATTAGTTTTTGTGCAGTTCCGTGAGACCAGGGATTTTGTCTATTTTGATCGGAAACATAGTAGATGCTAAATAAATTTTGTAGTAGTATAATTTCCATTATATTTATTTGTTTGTTTATATTATTTTGAGAGAGTCTCTCTCTGTCACCCAGACTGGAGTGCAGTGGCGTGATCTCGGCTCACTGTAGCCTCTGCTTCCCAGGCTCAAACGATTCTCCTGTCTCAGCCTCCTAGTAACTGGGATTACAGGCACGCACCACTACTGCCTGGCTAATTTTTGTATTTTTAGTAGAGACGGGGTTTCACTATGTTGGCCAGGCTGGTCTTGAACTCCTGACCTCAAATGATGTGCCTGTCTTGGCCTCCCAAAGTGCTGGGATTACAGGCTTGAGCCACAACATCCAGCCTCATTTCCATTGTAATGGTTGAATGTTTTCTCAGTATGTGTGTTTAGATTATTAAGTTTAACATTTCTTTGTACATTTACTGGTTTGGATTTCCTCTGTGAATCGCCTCTTCATGTTCCCTGTCCAGTTCTTCCATTTTTCCCAATTTTATCTTTGTAATAACTCCTTAAAATCTTTGGTTTATGTCTTCGAATATTTTCCCCCAGTTTTTAATTTACCTTTTATTTTTATTTATATTTTATAACGAATAGTAGTTGCCCTTTTTCATGTAGCCAGCCTGTCTTTTCTTTTTATTTCTTTTATGCTCATAAACAGCTTCCCCATGTTTATTTTTTCCTTTTTTTTTTTTTTTTAAACAGAGGTTATCAAGTTAACCTTCTCCATGTTGATACCACAGTTGTCACCATTTTCTTCTTTTTCTTTTTTTGAGACAGAGTCGCTCTGTTGCCCAGGCTGGAGTGCACTGGCGTGATCTCGGCTCACTGCAATCTCTGCCTCCTGGGTTCAAGCAATTCTCCTGCCTCAGTCTCCCGAATAGCTGGGATTTCAGGCACGTGCCACCATGCCCAGCTGATTTTTGTATTTTTAGTAGAGACAGGGTTTCACCATGTTGGCCAGGCTTGTCTCAAACTCCTGACCTCAAATGATTCACCCGCCTCAGCTTCCCAAAGTGCGCTGAGATTACAGGCGTGAGCTACCACGTCTGGCTTCTACTTGTTTTTGGTTTTATTTTGTGTTTGACTTTTTATCTCAATGGAATTTATTTTGCTGTGTATTGTGTATCGTAAAAAGATAAGTTTTTCCAAAGACTATCAACTGTTCCAGTCCTCTTTTTAATTTTTTTCTATAATGTAAACAACTAATTCAGAGTCTGTGAAAATTTGCCTTGAAACCCATTAAAATGAATTAATATTTCCAAAAATACTGATTAGACAAGCTCCAAAGATGAACAATACCACTGAATAGCTTCTAAAAGCATGAGTATTACCTTTTATCTTTGAAGCTTTCCTTATTTTCCTTGTGATATCCTATTTGCTCTTTTGTGATAAGGAAGAAAAATTAGACAAACATGTTGAAAACTGGTTATAAATTCCTGCCATCCCATGCTATTTCAGATAGTGATTAATAAACACATTACATCACTGTAATGTCTTTCCCATGTAGTCCTGACTAGTCTTGATAGGACAGATTCACCATCCAGATCTTACCTATGTACTGATTCTTCAATAAAAGAATAACCCCAGGATGAAGTTGGCAGTGGATATACACACAGCTGTGTCACACCAAACTTGAAATACTTTTTAGAAGTTTTAAGTGCTGATAAACAAACTCTTAGGATAAATCACCAATGAGCATGGAATTCCCAGCTTCTTCAGTTTTATTCATCATAAATGGTTTTCACAGATTTTATCATAAAAACGTATCTTCTCTTTCATTCATAGTTTATAATTCACATGATTTATTCACATTAACCAGCTGTGATTGGAGAATCAAGAGGAGCTTTGAGTCCCATTTTTTATAAATGCTTCTGAGAAGTACCATAGTTAATGCCCCTTTCAAATAAATAATTTTGGATGGGTGTGGTGGCTTACACCTGTAATCCCAGCACTTTGAGAGGCCGAGGCAGGAGGATCCCATGATCCCAGGAGGGCAAGGCTGCAGTGAGCCATGATTAGGGCACTGCATTCCAGCTTGGGCGACAGAGCAAGAGCCTGTCTTAAAAAAAAAAAAAAAAAAAAAAGTTGTTGAAGCAATTCTATGCATTGTTGTAGTGAAGATCTCTTGTTTTCCTTTCTTTTATGAGTACAGCTGTTGTCTAAAGGATGTTTTTACCTATTCTGGCTCAGAGTGAATTTATTTTTTGTTGTTTTTTGTTTGTTTTGTTTTGAGACAGTCTCGCTTTGTCACCCAGGCTGGAGGCTGGAGTGCAATGGCATGCTCATGGCTCACTGCAGCCTTGACCTCCCAAGCTCAAGCTCTCCTCCAATCTGAGGCTCCCAAGTAGCTGAGACTATGGGCGCGTGCTGTCACACCCAGCTAATGCTTTTTTTTTTTTTTTTTTTGTAGAGACAGTGTTTCGACATGTTGCCCAGGCTGGTCTTGAACTCCTGAGCTCAAGTAATCAGGCTCCCTTCGCCACCCAAAGTGCTGGGATTACAAATGTGACCCACCTCACCCAGGCTGCATCTCTTTCATTGGCTGCCCTTTTTACTGTGGTGTTTTGACATAGTGTAGAAATTCCTTGACAAATGAAGTTGCATTATTTGTCTTTGTATTCTCTGAAGGTTTTCATTAAAGAAAACTTCTGGCTAGGTGCCGTGGCTCACGCCTGTAATCCCAGCACTTTGGGAGGCCGAGGCGGGCAGATCACGAGGTCAAGAGATCAAAACCCTCCTGGCCGAAGTGGTGAAACCCTGTCTGTACTAAAAATACAAAAATTAGCTGGGCATGGTGGCACGTGCCTGTAGTCCCAGCTGCTCGGGAGACTGAGGCAGGAGAATGGTGTGAACCCGGGAGGCGGAGGTTGCAGTGACCGAGATCGTGCCATTGCACTCCAGCCTGGGTGACAGAGCTAGACTCTGTGTCAAAACAAACAAACAAAAAAACTTCTTAGATACATGCACACCTTGACATTCTCTCAGACTCATACTTTACTTTCTACTCTTCTTCTTTTTTTTGAGACAGAGTCTTGCTCTGTCGCCCAGGCTGGAGTGCAGTGGCGCAATCTTGATTCACTGCAACCTCCACCTCCTGGATTCAAGCAATTCTTCTGCCTCAGCCTCCCGAGCAGCTGGGACTACAGGCACATACCACCATGTCTGGCTATTTTTTTTTGTATTTTTAGTGGAGACAGGGTTTCACCATGTTGGCCAGGCTGGTCTCAAACTCCTGACCTCAAGTGATCCGCCGGCCTCGGCCTCCCAGAGTGCTAGGATTATAGTTGTGAGCCACCATGCCTGGCCCAACAGACTCATACTTTCACATTCATCTACCAGCCATCTAGTCTCTTTGCTAATTAACCCGTGTCTATAAACTCAGCTTTTGTCCAGCATTCCCCTGTATCACTATTAAGCAGTCATTATAGCTTACTATTAAAAACCACTGGCTGGCCAGGTGTGGTGGCTCATACCTGTAATCCCAGGACTCTGGGAGGCTGAGATGGGTAGGTCATGAGGTCAGGTGTTTGAGACCAGCCTGGCCAAGATGGTGAAACCCTGTCTCTCCTAAAAATACAAAAATTAGCCGGGTGTGGTGGTGGGTACCTGTAATCCCAGCTATTTGGGAGGCTGAGGCAGGAGAATCACTTGAACCTGGGAGGCGGAGGTTGCAGTGAGCCAAGATCGCACTGCTGCACTCTAGCCTGGGTGACAGAGTGAGACTCCGTCTCAAAATAAATAAATAAAAAATAAAACACTGGGTACAGTTTTGCTAATAGTGGCTTATACACAACAAATAAAGTATTAGCATAAATTGCAGCCTTAAGAAAGGCTTTTAAATGTCCTTTTATATAGAATTTTATATGTCCTTCTTCAAAAAATAGTATGTAATTGAGATAAAGATTAGAAAGGAATATGTAGAAATAGAAATAATTTTGTTAGAGTGATAGGATTATGTAATTTTTTCTTTGTATTTACTCACTTCATCAAACTTTCTATTATACCCTGATTATACTGATTATATTTCCTCCTGTACTGACTCAAAATCTTTTTATTTTTTCCTCAGGTGGTGACATGTCTAAGAATGTGAGCCAGTCACAGATGGCAAAATTGAACCAACAAATGGCCAAAATGATGGATCCTAGAGTTCTTCATCACATGGGTAAATACCAAGTTGTTAGCAGTTGCTAATGCAGTTTAATTTATAAGGGTTGAGTTTGAATGATATAAGCCTTTTGTTGTAATATTACGAAAATCTGTTCAAAAGGTGTGATTTCAGGGAAATGGTCATCTGAATCCTAAGTTGAATTAAATTGTAATAGGGCTTATTAGGTGAGGTCTTATTCACTCTTCTGCTGCCATCTCTGTGATGTTTGAGCAAGCTGTTTAATCGTCTTTTGTTTGTTTGTTCTGGTGACTTTTTAGTCACATACCTGTTTTAGAACCTGGATATTTTTAATTATATGACTGAGGATTTTTAACTTCAGTTCTACTTTGACTGTATAACCTTTACAAAGCTCCTTAAACTTTCTGAACTGCACTTTCCCCTTTGGTAAAATCACAGATCATATCTCATCAAGAAATTGTGACAATTAAATGAAGTAATATATATGAAGACATTCAGTAAAATTCTGGGCATATAGTAGATGTTCAATAAATGAATTCTTTTATTTTTGTAAGTCCTGTGGAATAATCCCCTATTGATTATTTTTTATGTAACTTAGAGTAAGACCCTTTTGGATTGATAAGAAAAAAATTTTTTGTTTAGATGTATTGACTGTGTGACAGGTAGTATCCTAAGATCTTTTTATGTATCACCTCATTTATTCCTCACAATAACTCCATAAGACAGGCTATTCATTCTCTTTTATTGATGAGGATAATATAAATTTTTAGGTGGTTCGTTCTTTAAGGCTGATAACTAAATTGCAATCAGAATTCAGTATTTTTAGAAGTACTTATTAGGTAAAAGTAATAAATGTTTCCAGTTCTGCTTAGTTATCTGTTTTTAACTCTACTTCCCTACTTTTGCCCTAGGTGGTATGGCAGGACTTCAGTCAATGATGAGGCAGTTTCAACAGGGTGCTGCTGGCAACATGAAAGGCATGATGGGATTCAATAATATGTAAAGAAAATGCCTTAATATAAACTGACTCAGTTGAGTACCTAATTTGCTGAGACCTCAGAGTTTCCCTTCTTTTTGCAAATTGGGGGGAAAGTGTATTTTTCTTGCTTATCATGCACTCTTTTTCTTTTTCTTCTCGCCCCCTTTACCCCTCCTTTTCTTCTTCCTTCTTTCTTTCCTCCCTTTAATGTAAGGGGGAAATACATGGTTTTTGTGGAAATCATTGTATGTTTGCTTTAGATTTTCTTCTGTTTTCACCATCATAACACTTAAGTTAAATCATGATGTAAAATTTTAGTACTTAAAGGTTTTTAATCGTCTCGAAGGCCAAGCATCACATTTGTAAACAGTCCTGGTCAGTAGTTAAATAACGTTTCAATTAAAGTGCTATAAAATAAACTTCAAAGTGGTTATAAGGGGTTGTTAACTTTCTTTATGGTTAAAAATTATCAGTTTATCACACTAAAAACTCAGTGGAAAAGCCAATAGATAAATGTCATTTAAAACTATGCCTGGGGCCGAGCACGGTGGCTCACGCCTGTTATCCCAGCACTTTGTGAGGCCGGAGCAGGTGGATCGCCTGAGGTGAGGAGTTTAAGACCAGCCTGGCCAACATGGAAACCCCATCTCTACTAAAAATACAAAAATTAGCTGGGCATAGTGATGCGTGCCTGTAGTCCCAGCTACTCAGGAGGCTGAGGCATGAGAGTCACTTGAACTCAGGAGGCGGAAGTTGCAGTGAGCTGAGGTCCCACCTCTGCACTCCAGCCTGGGTGACAGAGTGAGACTACGTCTCAAAAGAAAACAAAAAAAAAGAGAAATTAAGAGGCCAAGCATGGTGGCTCCTGCCCAGGCTGATCTGGAACTCCTGAGCGCAAGTGATCTACCTGCCTTGGTCTCCCAAAGTGCTGGGATTATAGGCCTGAGCCATTGCACCCAGCCAATCATTGATTTTTTTTCTTTTTTCTTTTTTGAGACAGAAAAGAAAAAAGAACTGTTGCCCAGGCTGGAGTGCAGTGACGCGATCTTGGTTCACTGCAACCTCTGCATCCCAGGTTCAAGTGATTCTCCTGCCTTAGCCTCCTGAGTAGCTGGGATTACAGGCATGTGACAACACAACTGGCTAATTTTTTTTTTTTTTTGAGATAGAATCTCCTTCTGTCACCGATGCTGAAGTGCAGTGGCATGATCTCTGTTCACTGCAACCTCCGCCTCCCAGGTTTGAGCAATTCTCCTGCCTCAGTCTCCCTAGTAGCTGGGAGTACAGGTGTGTACCACCATGCCTGGCTAATTTTTTGTATTTTTAGTAGAGATGGGGTTTCACCATGTTGGTTAGGCTGGTCTCGAACTCCTGACCTCAGGTGATCCACCCATCTCAGCCTCTCAAAGTTCTGGGATTACAGGCGTGAGCCACTGCGCCTGGCCAATTTTTGTATTTTTAGTAGAGATGGGGTTTCACCATGTTGGCCATGCTGGTCTTGAACGCATGGCCTCAAGTGATGTGCCCACCCTCTCCTCCCAAAGTGCTGGGATTACAGGTATGAGCCACCATGCTCGGCCTGTTTTCTGCATACCAAAAATACACTTGAAGAAGTTGATATATTTCGATGATAATGGCTAATGTATACATCTTCTAAAGGAAAAATAATTGCAAGTATTAGGTTGTCACTATTATATATTAAAAATAATGACCTGACAGGAGTTCGAGACCAGTCTGACCAACATGGCGAAACCCTGCCTCTATTGAAAATATAAAAATTTGCTAGGTGTTCCAGGTGGCTGAGGAGGCCTCACAATCATGGTGGAAGGCAAAAGGCACATCTTACATGGTGACAAGAGAGAATGAGAACCAAGCAAAAGGGGTTTCCCCTTAAAAAACCATCAGTTCTCATGAGACTCATTCACTACTATGAGAACACTATGGGGGAAACCACCTCCATGATTCATTTATGTACCACCAGGTCCACAGACCCCCTGGTGTCTCCCAAATATCATGTCCTCACATTTCAAAACCAATCATGCCTTCCCAACAGTCCCCCACAGTCTTAACTGCTTAACTTGCTTAACATTTCAGCATTAACTCAAAAGTCCACATCCAAAGTCTCATCTGAGACAAGGCAAGTCCCTTCCACCTTTGAGCCTGTAAAATCAAAAGCAAGTTAGTTACTTCCTAGATACTATGGGGGTACAGGCATTGGGTAAATACAGCCATTGCAAATGGGATAAATTGGCCAAAACAAAGGGGCTACAGACCCCATGCAAGTCCGAAATCCAGTGGGGCAGTCAGATCTCAAAGCTCCAAAATGATCTTTGACTCCTTTGTCATACATCCATGTCATGCTGATGTAAGAGGTGGGCTCCCACAGCCTTGGGCAGCTGTGCCCCTGTGGCCTTGCAGGGAACAGCCCCCCTCCCGGCTGCTTTCACAGACTGGTGTTGTCTGTGGCTTTCTAGGTGCACAGTGCAAGCAGTTGGCGGATCTACCACTTTGGGGTCTGGAGGACGGTGGCCCTCTTCTCACAGCTCCACTAAGTAGTGCCCCAGTAGGGACTCTGTGTGGGGGCTCCAACCCCACATTTCCCTTCTGCACTGCCCTAGCAGAGGTTCTCTGTGAGGGCCCCGCTCCTGTAGCAATCTTCTGCCTGGACATCCAGGCGATTCCATATATCCTCTGAAATCTAGGTGCAGGTTCCCAAACCTCAGTTCTTGACTTCTGTGCACTCACAGGCTCAACACCACGTGGAAGCTGCCAAGGCTTGGTACTTGCACCCTCTGAAGCCATGGCCTCAGTTGTACCTTGGCACATTTTAGCCATGGCTAGAGTGGCTGGGACACGGCACCAAGTCCCAAGGCCGCACACAGCAGGGGGCCCTGAGCCCAGCCCACAAAACCATTTTTTCCTCCTAGGCCTCTGGGCCTGTGATGGGAGGGGCTGCTGCAAAGTTCTCTGACATGCTCTGGAGACATTTTCCCCACTGTCTTGGTAATTAACATTTGCCCCCCGCCCACCCCTTTTTTTTTTTGAGACAGAGTTTCATTCTTCTTGCCCAGGCTGGAGTGCAATGGCACAATCTTGGCTTACTGCAACCTCTGCCTCCTGGGTTCAAGTGATTCTCCTACCTGAGCCTCCTGAGTAGCTGGGATTCCAGGTACATGCCACCACACCTGGCTAATTTTGTAATTTTAGTAGAGACAGAGTTTCTCCACGTTGGTCAGGTTGGTCTCAAACTCCCAACCTCAGGTGATCTGCCCACCACAGCCTCCCAAAGTGCTGGGATTACAGGCATGAGCCACCACACCTGGCAGCTCCTCATTACTTATGCAAATTTCTGCAGCCAGCTTGAATTTCTCCTCAGAAAATGGGTTTTTCTTTTCTATCACATAGGCTGCAAATTTCTAAATTTTTATTCTGTTTCCCTTTTAAAATGGAATACTTTTAACAGCACCCAAATCACCTCTTGAATGGTTTGCTGCTTAGAAATTTCATCCGCCAGAGGCTGGGCACAGTGGCTTACGCCTGTAATCCCAGCACTTTGGGAGGCTGAGGCTAGCAGATCACGAGATCAAGAGATCGAGACTATCCTGGCCAACATGGTGAAACCCCGTCTCTACTAAAAATACAAAAATTAGCTGGGCATGGTGGCATGCGCCTGTAGTCCCAGCTATTTGGGAGGCTGAGGCAGGAGAATTGCTTGAACCCAGGAGGTGGAGGTTGCAGTGAGCCAAGATCATGTCACTGCACTCCAGCTTGGGTAACACAGTAAGACTCCATCTCAAAAAAAAAAAAAAAATTTCTTC